TCTGTGTGTTTGTTTGTTTGTGTGTGTGTGTGTGTGTCGAGTGCATTTCATCCGGTAGTTTCAACTTATGGACCAGGGGAAACGGGAAACTGAAATTTTAGTAAACTGTCCTCCGCCCCCGTGCGTCCCCGCAAACTTAAATTCAGCTATCACATACCGCGGCTACCACGTAAGACCCCACGAAAACTTTGGGGGATAGAATTACTATTGCAGAAACCACGAAACTTGGCTGAAATTTTAGAGTAATGTCCCCTGCCTAAATACAACCTCGCAAATTCAAATTCAGCTTTCACATAGGCCTGGGTCTCACTTACAGCCCCGTGAAAGTTTTAGCAGGAAAAATTATTATCTTGGGAGTGAGAAGAGCTGGAGGCTGAAAGCTTCAGGAGCATGTTCGCTAGTTATGCAGAGAAACTCAAACACAGCACCTAAGTATGACCAGCACTCATTAGTGCTTTCAGAACAGTGTTCACCGTCCAAGGTTTCAGATCTAGCTCTCATGTACGTCTATGTTCCACTTACTGACACGTGAAATTTTTGATGGGAAATTTCGCAGCTTAAGAACCAAGCAGCACACTGACTACTTTTCAGAAATCAAAATGTAGAACAGTGAAAATTTTTAGCAGGCAAACGTCCGCTGATCGAAGTACGCAAGATGCATGACCACATTGGCTGTTCTGGGTGCGCGTCGCTATTTATTCAACTTGCACCTTCTTTCAGTGCCCCTCACCAAGAATCATGCGTCCACTGTGCTAAACTTGCCCTTTTTCAGAAAAACTTGCATCCCCTCCAATCTGAACATTGCTGTGCGCACCGCACTCCTCGGTCATAAGAGGACACCACCAACCCCGCCCCCTCCTTCGCATTCTCGTTACAAAAACACTGGTTTCACAAGCCTCGCCAGACTGGGCTGCACTGCACAGCGCCGATTCGCAAATCACCGATTTTCGTCGATTTTCGGATTTTTCGTAAATCATAAGCTGGCAACTACTAAAACTCGGTTCGGCCGGCTTCCGTTGTCGCGCGCTTTGGCTAAAATGCAAGTGCAAAAACGCGTACTGTGACGACTCTTGTGTGTGTGCGCGCGTGTGTGTGTGTGTGCGTGTGTGCGTGTGTGTGTCCGGGTATTTAAACTCGGCACCCAAGCAAGCTCAAGCGCCAAAATTTTGCCAGCGTGTTCTCCGGCCCAGTGCCACCCAGGACCGCGTACTAACCTTCAGGCAAGTCTGAACCCCGTGTACGAGAGGATGGAAGTTTTGGCGAGAAAATCGCTAGCTCGGGAACCAGAAAAGCTGGAAAGCTGAATTTTTGAGATCATGTCCCTCGCCCACATAGGACTCAAAGATTTCAAATTCAGCCCACAGGCGTGCGTTTTACCCGCGTGTGGCCCCGTGAATGTCCCTGGGCTAAAATCGCTAGCTTGGGAACGACAAAAGCTGGTAAGCTGAAAATTTCAGGGAATATTCGCAGCGCGTGTACAACATGAATTTATTAAATTCACCCCCTAGGCATGCGTGGTTATCACATACGGCCCCATAAAATATTTTTATCAGGAAAATGGCAAACTTTGGAACTAGGAAAGCTGGGGGCTGAAATTTTAAAGGCATGTTCCCAGCCCCCTGTAAAAGTTAAAGATATCAAATTCAGCTCTCAGATACGTGTGGTTCTCATGTACGGACCCATGAAATTTTTTGGCAGGAAAATCCCTAACTCAAGAACCACAGAAGCTGGAAAGTCGAAGTTTTAACGGAATGTCTCCTGTCCAGGTACCGTGTAGACAAGTAACTTCCGGAACTTCGAGGACCAGTATGTCACAAATCCCAGCTACTAAGTCCCCGAGCAAATACTGCGAAGACAGCACGAAATGCTGGAAAAACGCATAATTGCACGGGATCGCAAGCTGTGCGTCGCCAATGATTGTGTCAATTACGAGGCTGGGTTCAGGTGGTAGGGGTGACTACCTGAAGAGTTGGGTTTGGGGGTGCCAGATGTAGGGGATAGTGCGAGTGTTATCTGCGCGGGCTCAAGACAGAGGGAAACGAGGGTAAGCTGTCGTCGCGCTACCACTGTCCGTGTGTTGTCATAGCTCGATGTCTCGAGCTACCCGAGCCGAGTTTTAGTAGTTGCCAGATTTGACAACAACTACTAAAGCCCGGCCCAAACTTGGCGACAACTATTGGAGTCCAGGTTCGTCTCGCCTCGG